AATATTTCCATGAATAAGACATAATTCCCAATTTAAATAGCATTAGATTTAACAAGTGCTTAGGTTTGCTCCTACGGGGAAGGTAAAAAGTGTTTTTGACGTACAGTACGTCAATAGTATAGGATGAAATAAAAAATTTGCCAAATTTTATCAACATATATCCATAAACAAGTAAACTACCTACAACAGTTTTCATTTTCTCCTTAGGAATAACATGGGAATTTTAAATTACACTAACTTATTTTTGAATTTTCTCTGTGACCGTTAGGTAAACAACAGCGCTTCAATATACTAGGTAAATTATTTCTTTTTTTAAGCTCTACAAAACGGTTTAAAGGAAATTGCAAATCTTTTTGTTTTTAGGGTCAAAAATGGAAAAAACCCATTTTTACCCCATAAAACCCCCCATAAACCCCCGTTTCCATGGTCCGATTATGCTGGTTTGCGAACTCGTTTGAATAAACGCAGGTTTACACGCTTGTACCAAATTTCATCAAAATCGGATCATTTTTGCTCGAGTTATCGCGCGAACGGACATATATATATATATATATATATATATATATATATATATATATATATAGTGTATAAATATATAATATATATATATATTAATATATGTATACATATATATATATATATTGATATATATATATATATATGAAAAATAGAATAATAGGGCTACTATCTTACTAATATTATAAATCTGAAAGTTTGTGTGTGTATTTGTGTGTGTGTTTGTTGCTCAATCACGCATAAACTACTGGACGGATTGGGCTGAAATTTGGCATGATGATAGCTCACATTCCCGATTAACATTAAAGCATATTCTTATCCCAAAAATCCTTTCGGGCTCCACCCCAGTGGCTCTGTAGTTCCCCATGTTAACCTTATGATTTTTCATATTTAAAAGGAATTAATGAATCTTAACAGCTGTTTCAATTAAACAAGTTGGTTCTGTTCTATGATGTTCAATAGCATAAAAGTTACAAGGATTACCAACAGGGTGCAGCACTATTATTTTTTTTTAATTTATGACAACAGCTAATTTCCAACCAAAAGGTGAGTGAGCGCAGCGAACGAGCTCCAACCTAAAGGTGAGTGAGCATAGCGAACGAACTTCAACCAGGACGTGAATGAGCAATGCGAATACTTATGAAGTTAAACGGGGCAAAGCCCGCGGGTACAGCTAGTCTATAAATAAAGATTAAATATTAATGAACTTAGTACCTACCCAAGTAAAAATTATTATTAAAATAAACATATAGGCTGGGTATATTATATGAATCTGAACGGATGGTGTTTTTGGCCTCTAGGGACCTCAAAACAAAAAATTATATCGGTCCCGGGTCCAGGTCTTACCATGAGTACTACGGTATTAGCTTATTCCCTATATGGGAAATTCGCTAAAACCACAAACATTAAAAAATCGTATTACAATCTCTCAACAGTTTCATCCATTGCACTCTCATTGTGCCTGCATTCATGTAAATAGCATTGCCTATGGTGAAAGACTTAACGGCCATTTAAAGTCTTTCTTTAGATCATTGCTATGGAGTGTAAAAGAATGCTAAGGAGCAAGAATTAATAGGCTTGGCCGGGAGGTTTTTCCACATTACTTCAGACTAGACCTAGGGGTTACGGCATTATCACTTAGATAAAATCCGTTGGTGATTTGGCGGGATTCGAACCCAGGAACCAGAGTCCCGCGCTCTAACCACTAGACCAGCTCGCTCCCCTCGGCCGGGAGGTTAACTATTGATAGATATAGGCCTAATGTCTTCTTTTTAATTATCATTAAGAATAACATGTAAACATTGAGTACACTAAAAAACACTAAAAAGACAAAATTGCAAAAGGACATTTTTATGAAGTTTATTAAACATTCTATTTATTCATAGAATTGCATTTTAATTAAAACAGTAGAAATTTATAACACTACCCACAAGATTAATATTTTACAAAAAGACTACACAATAGGATAACAAAATGTAAATATCACAACATCTACATGTCCAGCGATCATAAATATCACAAGAAAAGAACTTCTTTTCAAACATTACATGGAAACAAAATGAATAATTGCAATGAAATAGACAAAATTTAAAATAAATATTACTGATAATTATTGATGTAATGGAAACAAACAAACAGCTAAACAAAACACAGCCGATAGCCAGAACGATACGTCATCAAATCAAGCAGACAAAAATTGGTTCTTTTTCTTCAGTGGCTACTGGCCAGTTTTTTTTTCCTTTGCAATAAGTGATCAGTCAGCCTGTAGACGCTTTTAGTTACTACCGGATTAGTACCGTAATGGTAATGGCCAATTAATGCCCTCAGTCACAGCCACCTCTAATACAAGGCCGCGGCGAGTGAAAAGCGGCAACGTCGCATCGGTGTCTTGGCGTTCGGTCGTTTTACCATTACAGTGAATGGAGGAGTCGCGTACTCTACGTACATAATCGCGTTTCTACTACCTTTAATCATTAGTAATGACATTAAACTTCTTACTACAGCATGCCAGATAGATGTGATGTGCCTGGATGCAAGAATAATTACGATAGCTCAATTAAAAATGAATAATACATACAGTGTTCTAAGATTCTACTTGATCCACCGCGTAAGCAACAATTAATTGCTTTCTGCTATTCTTCGATCAAATTAGACATCTTTAAAATATTCTCGTTTTTGTGTGAAACATTTTTCACAAATATGAGCTTAGATTAAATTTGTAAAAAAATTTTAGAATAAGACTATGATTCGTGTAAATATAGACGCGAGAAGCAAGTTTTAGGTAGTAATACCGTACTATTTCCTTGTTTATTTGTCTATCTTATTGATAAATGCTGTTGTTAAGTGATAAAAATAACTGAAATAAATGCCACTTCAAAGAAATAAGCCGGTGTTTCTGTTAAGTAGGCCTACTAGTAAAAAATATGTAACCTACTGCATATTACGGTATGTTGCAATTTTTCACTAAATAAACAACCTAGATTACAATTTTGTCTATTTTACCATACCTTAAAATCTACTAAAATATGTTATTACGTATTTAAATACTTTCATTCATTGATACAGAGCAGCAATACTCTCATTGATGTTCATAGCCTAGCGCGTGTGAAGACGGACGCAGAGGGGGTGTGATTGCGGCGTTGCCAGTTCGAACGTCGCGGCCTTGTATTAGAGGTGGCTGTGCCTCAGTGCACGTTGCCCTTCTCCAGTTGAATTTTCTTAATATTTATGAAATTAGCTTTACTGTGATATGCTACAAGTAGGGTACCGTAACAGTTTTTGAAATAATAAAAATAAAAAATAGGAAATTTGCAAATGCCCATTGTTCAAAATTTTCAAAATAATGTAATAACATAATGTCAAGTGGCACATCATTTTGATATGTTTTTTAATTTTACCAACTTTGTAATTTACACTTACGGTACCTACTTCAAATATCCCTTTAGTTTTTGTGTAAATAACAATAAAACCTAATTTTCCTATATCAAATGCATGTTATTTGGGTTTAACACTAATGGCCCCATCTCATTTCATTTAGTAAAAAGTAAGGTGTCAATCGATTTTTAATTAAATTTCCTTAAAAAAGTTATTCGGTTTTGTAAAATCAGCGGTTTTTTAATTGTTTGGAAACAGAATTTTTAATAGCCGCCATGTTGTTTAATGAATTTTTAAAATTTTCATGGCCTTAATTCTGTTGTAACTTTGTCTAGTTGTCATAAATGTTGGTGCAAAATCTGAATTTCGTATCTTTTACCACTTTAAACTGGCGGCTGTGTGAGTAACTAAGGACTTTAAACACTAACAGACAGATTAACGGACAGTTTAATTACTATATTTGGATATGTTTCTTACCCAGAAAAATTTCCTAAAATATCCTACACTAATTCTGAGACACCCTGTATATAACAATTGGAACTAGTGTTAATTAGTACACAGGGTTTTTGGTCCCTAGCGACATCCAAATGAAAAATATATTGGCCCCGGGTCTAGGTCTTACCGTACCACCTACGGTAATAGCGGTTTCCCTTTAGAGAAATTTGCTAAAACCTGTGTTAGTAGACCTAGTTACATGTGATTAATGATTTTATTGAAGAGTTAAAGCCTGGTATATTAAACAATTTTTTTAAGAGTTTTTGTCTCATATATACTTATTACTTAATAGTTCATATAGATGTTATTGGTAAAAATATTACGGTATAAGAAAATATGTTTCTTACGACGTCAAATGGCCTGCGTGGGGTCATTAGTTGTTCACTGAGCGGCCACGCACTGCGCTAGCTTCGCGAACACTATAAATACAGCGCAAGACATCCTCCAGTCAGTTAATCGCCAGGCGAGCAGCCAGGCACATTTCTTCCTGGTAAGGGGAGTAGAGTAATATCGCAAAATCATAAGCTAGGGCGCGATATCCCGGTAATTGAGCAAAATAGCTCGTGGACTCGGGAAGTAATTGATTTAATTTGTTTCAAGTATATTGGTTTTAATTCTAGATAAGTGAAGCACTGTATAATCATCAGGTAGCCTACTTAGGTACAAATTTTTAGTTTTATTCTCGAAGAAAATAATTTCAGTCAGTTTGGGACCAGTGTTTTCACTCAAAGAATTAAAATAAATTATTCGAAGTTTGTTCTTTTTTTAATGTACGGTAAGTTTAAATTGAGCAGTGATGAATGTGTCATTTACTGAAAAAAGATTATGCTTAACGACTACATCTGAGCCAAAATATTTCAACTTAATACTATTATTATTACTACTAACCTTGGACTTACTCAATTAGATTAGCTATCCAAGGCCGACAGTACAATTTTGTCCCTTGACAAAATTGTACAGTCACACATAGTTCACTGGAGAAAAGTGTTTTTATATGGGACAAGCACTCCATCTTATACCCAAACAATTTCTTGGATTTGGATCACAGCAAGTTACAACTTAAAATAAATGTAAGTTTTGTCGGGCATTAGTATATGTTTATTTCTATGTTTCAGGTATTCAGCTGAAATGAGCTTGATTGAATTTTTGAGGGACAAAAGAAAAGCTTGTCTCAAAGGTAATAGCCGTCTGTCAGATTGTGATTGCCCTGTATGCACTGCAAAAGATTCTGGTAAGAAGTAATAACGTTGTTAAATTTCAGAACACGTTTCATAACTATCTCACCAAATTTAGTTGCTGTAGGCTACCTATATTAAACCGCACTAGTGTAGGCCTACCTGTTGCTGGAATTTGAGCAATTGTGAAGTATTATTACAGGAGTTATTTTAAAACGAATAACAGTGAAAATTTCTGATGACTTTAAAAAAGTCGACTCAAAGATTATGGAAATACTCACGATGTACATAACAGTTCGATACAATCAACATTTCTTGTAAATCTATATATATAATACGCTAAGCCGATTTTTGTAAACAGAACTCCTCCCACATTTTTGGACCGATTTTGATGATTAAAGTGTAAAAAAAAATGGCCCTGATCTGTAGTTTTGCAAAGTGTTTTTGGTTTTTTGAAATCTTTATTAGTTTGGGCAGGATCTTCCATCAAAGTTGGGTTTTCTCCCATAAGATTAACATGGGGAAATCTAAATATTTAATTGGAAACTTTGTCTCCACTAATTTGAGAGAACGGCTGGACGTAGAAACTTGGTAGAGGTCTCCAAAGAAAGGCTTGGTCTGTAGATGAGTAGTTATCAAAAGAAACATGAAGTGCTAAGCCGATTTTTGTAAACAGAACTCCTCCCACATTTTTGGACCGATTTTGATGATTAAAGTGTCAAAAAAATTGCCCTGATCTGTAGTTTTGCAAAGTGTTTTTGGTTTTTTGAAATCTTTATTAGTTTGGGCAGGATCTTCCATCAAAGTTGGGTTTTCTCCCATAAGATTAACATGGGGAAATCTAAATATTTAATTGGAAACTTTGTCTCTACTAATTTGAGAGAACGGCTGGACGTAGAAACTTGGTAGAGGTCTCCAAAGAAAGGCCTTGGTCTGTAGATGAGTTATCAAAAGAAACATGAAGTAAATTCCCTTAGGGCTCTGCCCCAGAAGCCTTTAAAGATACCTCGACAAATTTGTTTACATTTTGGCCATGTGGATAATACTTTTTAATGAAACAGCTGTTGATTTTTCAATTGTGTTTTTAAACAACACACATTTATTGGGAGTTACTAAATTGTCCAAAAGAAGTATTTGCAATGCTATTTTCTGATTTTAAAATTTATTTTCTTCTGTATCATGTAATGTTTTGCAATATAACATTCCATTACGAAATCAGTGGAAATTCCTTTTATCACAGAACTCTTACAATAATTTCTTATTGAACTATCTTATATCTGCTGTACGGGCTGTTGTCTGCCTTTTCCCCCACATTTGCCTATATTTTATCATACTATTCAACAGATCATCGTAGGTTCACAAGATTATTGTTATACATGTTTTCAATCATTGGAAAAATCTTCGATTGCGTAATACAATACAAAATTAAACAAGTGCAGAAGGGCACGTTGCCCATTTGAGCAGTGTCCATTTTGCTAAATTAATAGTAGTTTACAGCAACTGGATAAAACATTTTACAATATTTGTGTAGAAATATGTGCATGATTTAGAAAGTCATTAAGCTGTAAAACTGCAATTTAAACTCTTAGAGAGCCTTTGAATGTTATTAGAATAACGAAATGGGTTGTGCATGTTTACTAACGCTACTCAGCAACAAAAACCATTAAATTTATCTCTATTTGTTAAGAAAAACTTCAACCTTTTTCAAAATCAGTCTCACCCTATCTCCTATGGTTTGAGAAGCCGGTCCGATTTGGATATTCCAAAGCACAAAACTGCGTTTTTTGAAAATCATTTATTTTGCAATGGCATTCAACTGTTCAATGCACTGCCCGCTCCCCTGAAGATGGAAAATAGTGTGGACAAATTTGGCAAAGGGGTTAAGAGTCTTCTTTTGTCACGCTGTTGTTACAGTGTAGAAGACTTTTAGTTTTTAGATTTTATTTATAAGAAATATTGTTTTTATTTGTAAGAGAAATTTTGTTGACGCTATTATGCAGTTATAACGACTGTCAAATAAATTAAGATGTTTGAGTTTGAGTCAAAAAGTATATTCTTAAAGTGCACTGAGCAGCAGCCTCGAAAATACTATAACTTACCCATATAGTTACAAAATGCTCAAACTCACATTGTGACATTTATAATTTGGCTTAGGCCCTATATTTCTCCACCAGATTATTTATCTGCAGAAGAAGTTTATCGTGTGTAATAACATCCAAACACAGAAACCTGGCCTAAAATGGTACCTATCTTGACAAATTATTTGAAGTGGTCTATATTACGGACCGTGGCTCACTGGGTTGTTAACATGATTAAAAATAACCACGACATTTTGGCTGTAAAAAATACACAAAGAGTAAATACTATTTAAGCAGCTACTGTCATGACAGAAAGGTCATATTCCTTTTAAACTAGATCACATCATCCTTTATAAGATACGTTGTTTAACAATGCATGTAAACGTCAATATTTACGTAACAGCCAATTTACAGTATTTATTGCTTTTGCCAAATGCCGCATTGTTATGTAATTTGAATTATTTGTTGCCAATGAAGCCGCACAACCATATAAACGAGGAGGTCCCTAACAGTTCAAGAGTAAAAGCCAACTTCACTTCAAGTATATTCCACTACACCTAACTTTCAGTAGATGAATAATTAGCGTAAGCCTTGACAGTGACCGTCGATTTCGACGGGTTTCACCTAGTATATAATAATTTTTCAAAAGCTGATCTTGTTTTTAAGTGTCTTCTACAAATGTTTCCCACTCATAGTCGCATTAGGTTTCCATAATAATGATTAGTAATTCTAAAAAAAAACATAATTTCTATTTCTTCTACTTGGTGGTGTTCTACGACTATCCTGTGTTTCCATAGTTTGCAAGTTGGCTCTTTAAATGATTGATCAAGAAATGCAGCACAGTGTAAATTCAGTTTTATTTTTACTATTCCATTGTAATATTTACGCCATCCCTAATTCAAATAGTAGGCAATATTTCTTTGTCGTCAGGTCCTTGGCATGTTTAAAAACAAAAATAAAATGTAAAAATTTTCTCATTTCTTTGCCGGGTTTCTAATTATTTTAAAAAACAGCAAACTGTTTACATTTCAATTCCAAACAAAACAGCTGGGATTTATTTTTTATAGAAAACTAATGTATTGACATCTGTTTCAGAATGTAATAACATTCAAATCAATCACAATGTTATCCTTATGGAAGGAACTTTGAGGGCAGCCCACACCCTTAAAAAGATATATTTCAAAAATCTAAAGCCAGTTTGCACTTCTACACACCTAGACGAACATATGTGAGGTTAAATCTTAAAACAAAAAAGCCTTATTGTTCACAAAGTTGCATGTCGCGTATTAAATATATAGATAAAACAGAGTTAATGCTATTAATCTTAATGCTGGATAATAAATAATTAGTATTTTACCCTTTCATTGCAAAGGATTTAACTAGTCTCATTATAATTACTTTTAGGCCACCTTCGCTAGAATAAGTTTTATACATTTAAAATGAAATATGCCAACAAAAGAGTTAAAACTGAAATACAACACACATAAACTCTGTGGCAGCCGGTCCTTTATTACTGCTACTCAACTAAGTTCACACTATACGGGATTAGAGTGCCCAATAGCAACAAGTAATTGTCTATGTAACAATACCCCTGGATCGGATTTTTAATGAAGTATTTACATGAACAAGACATATTTATTTCCTATTTAAGTAACATTAGAATTAATGACTATTAAAGTTTGCTGCTATGAGGAGGTTAAGAAGTGTTTTTGCCTGAATAGTAGGCCTAAAGGATGAAATGAATAAATTTTTAAAATTTTATCAACATGTGGCCCAATTCAAACCGAACGGATGTCGGGCGGAGACGTGGCACGGACTAGGCACAGGCGAGACGTGGCGTGTTCAATGCACACAGAAGGGACGGTACAGTGGTGAGACAACCTGTATGTAGACTGGTGTTTGCTTATTTCTATTGATATCAATTGTGTTAGTTAATTTCTGTCAACTTAATTAGTTATTTCTGTCATAAGACTAACTAAATCATGGAGAATAGCAGTGAAGAAGATGACGATGACATGTTGGATTTAGTGTACTTGGCCAATTTACAAATAGTCCAGGAGCTAAGGGGGTTTGAGCATGCATGAAAGTAGTACGCAATGACAATAGACAATAGACAAATTCTTTATTCCTTCAACAATATACACATATTGTAATAGACATCGTCAAACTTAACAAGCAATAACAAAATATCAAGGCAACAAATATTTGTTCTGTCAAAAGATACATATAATACATAAATAAATGTCACAAAAATACAATATCTAATCTGTCTACAATAAGGTCATCTTAACTATGCAACAAAAACTCATATTTCATAAATTCATCTATGTCATAAAAAGGATTTTTTACTAGCCAGGAATACAATACTTTTGCAAATTTTCTTTCTGATAAATTCAGCCAGGCTTTTGGTAACTTGTTAAAGAACTTAAGACCTAAATAACTATGGTAACTCTTTGTTTTGGTTAATCTACATTTTGGTAACTGTAGGAGATGTCTATCTCTTGTTTCATAGTCATGGAATATGGCTCTTTTAGGCAACGATGGATAGTTTTTCTTTACCAACATCAGAACATCATATATATAAAGATTAACAAAGGTTAAAACATTAGCTTCTACAAATAATGGTCGACAATGTTCTGACGGTTTAGCATTCATTATTATTCTAATTGCTTTTTTTTGTAAGATTAAAATTCTCTCCATGCCTATACCATTTCCCCAAACTGTCAGACCATATCTTAAAATACTTTCAAAAAAGGAAAAATAAGACATCCTTAAACACACCTTAGTTACTTGTCTTTTTAAATTAATCAGTAAATATATTATTCTACATAACCTTTTACAAACAATATCAATCTGATTTTTCCATGAAAGACTAGCATCAATACTTATACCTAACAATGTTACAGCCTTATTTACATCAATGTTATTGCTGATTATTGTAATATGGACTGTGATGATCAAAATTACGTATGTCGCCT